CAAAATTCTGATTTTTGCTTTGTTGGGCTGTTTTTTAGTCTTGAAATTCCCATACTTCATAAACTAAATCAAGATCATATAACATGAACAAGAGAAAAGCATTTAACATGTTATTACTCAATTGTTTTTTTCTTGTACAGTTCATATGTCTTCATGTTCTAGGGGCCAGTTTTATATTTACTTTTTTTGTCTAATAGTTTTGTATTACAGGCAACAATTTTATTAGAAACCATCAAAAATTGTTGTTACACTATTTGCCAAATGTGTGCCAAAAGATAATATTGTCCTTCACTTTTGTAAGCAAATAGTAAATTGTACCATAATCCACTTCTCATCTTTTGTTCAATTTTCAAGTGGTCCAACAATAACCATGGTTCGCAATATGCCAAATGATTTTTATTATGGTACTGACATACTGATTTAATGTTACTTCCAGATTGAAGCCCACGCCGAGAGTGTGAATGATCTTGTTTTCTCTTATCCAAACAAACAACTGTGTGTCGTTACTTGTGGAGAGGACAGGCTTATTAAGGTCTGATAAGTTATATTATTGGTTCATGCAGCACAATGAGTGGACTTACTTTCCTTTCATTTTCTTTCTCAAATGTTTCTCAGAGCCCCCTAGGTTTTTGCGCATGTTCTTTTAATGAGTTGGGATTGGGGGTGAGGCTGGATGGATATTTGGTTAACTTGTTGGTTTGGATTATTCTTTTTTCTTTTATTATATATTGAATTTTTCTTCTTGCACAGGTATGGGATGTGGTATCAAGTGCAAAACAGTATACTTTTGAAGGCCATGAAGCACCCATACATTCCGTATATCTACATCAGAAGGAAAATATTCAGGTATGATCTTCATATTTGTGGTAGAGGTAAATATTTTCTCTCTCTACCCAAATAAAAATTTACGTTTTCATAAGGAAGCCACCGAAAGCTTTCCAAAACTTGAAATTTGGCCGTAGGAGGATTGAATTGTATTTCGTAACATCGAATGCCACATCCGAGGTTATTATTTAATTTTTCATTTTTTAAAATATTGGGTTTTTAGATTTCAGATTATTATGTTCAGAAAGCAATTAAAGAGAATGTGGAGAAATTACATGAATTATGTTAAGCTATCATTTAAGGCATATATAGATCAGATTGTATATCTGCTAATGTTATTGATTTATGCTGTTGATCGTCGTTACAATATTTTGAAATTGAAATTTGGTGTTATTATTATCGTTACTTTTTCATATTTGTTTGTGAAGGTAGAAAATGGTAGAATTCTGCAAATTAGCGGTGA